TCTCAACAGCTTTCTCTGAAATGAGGTCATCTAAGCCAGGTCGGGTATTCCGCTCTGAACTCACCCACATGCTCTCAAAGATCTCCACCCCTGCTCATGGCCCAGAGAACCCTTCACAGCCCTGTCACCCAGACACTTCATCACCGATCGCACCTCCTCATGCACAGAGCAGTAAGACTTCAGACAGCCTGTGCCAGCTCCACACAGGACATGGAGCATGAGTTAACCATAGCAATTTGCTATATTTCAGAAGCACATTAAACATAGCTCTAAGTGGGCCTCAGCCAAAATACAGCTTAGGAAACAAAGTAAGGCTGCGATTCACCATTTATTAAATTCTACTTTTATGGGGCATTTTATTAAGCATTATTCTAAGGATTATTTCTTTACTTTATTTTTATTGTATACACTATTACAAATTTCCATTTTCCCCCTTTACCCACCTTCACACCCCCCCCAGATCTCTCTAAAAGTTAAGATCAAAACCACATTAGCATAAAATTGTATTTAAAACTTCTGCTCTGTGCCAGGTTGAGCTATATACTCAGAATGCAAAAGGGACCATGCCATACCCTTGCTTCACTCACCTTAGAGTCTGGCAGTGGAGACAGCATAGGATGTAGGCAGTGCCATACCTCAGCATTGCCTTCTGTCCTCTAGCTAAGGAGACTGCCTGTCTAGCACAGTGCCTGGCATACAGTCAAGCACTTAATCAATATTTACTGGATGAAATGAGAGAAATGAATAAATGTTAAGATAGAGTAAGTATAGGGCCCTTTGGAAAATACATAGAAGGATAAACTAAACTGGTTTGAAGGAGTAACTGCAGAAAGTGTGTTACACTGAGATGGGGTCAAAAGCCTCAGGGTGCAAAGAAAAGGCCATGCTGATGGACATAAGCCCAGGTTTAAGTTCTAGCAGGCCCTCCTGAGCAGTACAGCTCTCAAGGTGCTGACCCTTATGCTCTGCATTTTCAAAACACAGATGATGGCTTTGAAGGCCGTTTTGGAGGCTAACGGGAATGTTTGTTATGGCTAAGTGTCTGTGACCAAGAAGAACCTCAATGAAAGGCTGTCAGAGAAGTTTCAGAAAACAGCATTGCACATTAAAGCGATAAATACTAAGTAGTAAGATTAAGAACACAAGTATTCTGAGGGTTGGATACTGATAATAAGCTGAAGGTCCTTGTGGAAATACAGGATAGGTGTGATGGTAGCTCTTAGCCTATAAGCCTGCAATGAAATACTTCATAGTCATAAAAAAGAAGGCAATCTTACCCTGTGAGACAGCATGGACAGACCTGGAGATTCCTTTGCTTAGCAGAATAAGCCTGTCAGAGAAAGACAAGTACCAAATGGTCTCTCTTTTATGTGGAATCTAATGAACTCAATAAAATGCTGAACATAATAGCAACAAAGGCATGGAAGCACGGAAGAGAATGATGGGTCTCAGAGGGGAGGGGAGACTGCATGAAAGAAGGTGAAGGAATTGGTTGAAGGCATATATGCATAACCATGATACAGACAGCCATGTGTGAAAGCCAGGGAGATGCCAGGCAGGGGGAAGTGGGCAAAGGGTGAAGAGAGGCAGATGCTTTGTGAGCATTTGTCTTCCTCTTCCAGGCCATCCTGAAGGTCTTCACATTCACTTTTAACTGCAGATCCATATGGCCTGACACTGCTCACAGCATTGGAAACAACCTTTCAGATACCAGGTAAACTTAGTGTATTGTGTGGTAAAGGCTTGATATGGACTAAATGTGAGATGTGTGTGTGAGTGAGTGAGTGTGTGTGTGTGTGTGTGTGTGTGTGTGTTTGTGTGTGTATACACATATCCTTATATAATAAAAGGCTAATATGCAAATAGACTGAATGGTGGAACAACTGGTCGCTATGATGCACACTGAACACAAGAGGGCAGACACTCAACACAGGAGCTGTCCTCTGATGGTTAGTGTGCTCCCACAACCTGGGCTCACAGCTGGCGAGCTCAGTGTTGGTGATGGGGCAACACTAAGGATGTCCAACTGTTGGCTTAGGTCTGAACATCCCCCGAGGGCACTGGGACTGCAAGAAGGTGCAGGCCGGGCTGAGGGACCCCCTCCAAGTGCATGAATTTTGTGCACCAGGCCTCTCTAGTATATACATAAAAACACAAATTTTTCTCTCTAAGTTCTTGCAATAATCAGCTTCTGCTGCTTAAATCCTAAACATCTATAACTACACCAGACTCCTTTCTTCTGTTCTTCCTTCTGCTCCTGTATATCAGACTATTTTGTGCTGCATTCATATAATTAGGTCAGTACACACACACCGCTGCTCTCCACTGGCTTCAGCTCTTACCAGGTAAGCTTTGGGCAATGCCCTGAGATGAATTTTCAGACATGTTAACGTGGGCAGAGAGGGCTGGGAGTGGGAGATGTTGGCAGAAGACTTTGGGGTTTGCGGTCCATACCATGAGATAGAACTATATTTTTATGTGGCAAGAAAGTCAACTAAAAGTGAGAGGAGATGGTGGTAGCCACAGATGAAAGAAACGGTCAAACCTGAAAACATTTTATCATAAAAGTTTGGAGAAGAAAGAGCATATGTTACAATGACAAGGGGAGAGAAGAACTTGCTTGGGCCTTTGAACCCAGAGCAGGAGCCGGGCCCAGGCAGGACAGCGATAGGCCTGGGGAGGACGCTTGGGATGAAGGCTTGCTCCACGCAGCCTGTGGAGCAGGTGCAGGGGCGAGTCTGCACAGTCTGGGCCTGCAGGGACTGGGGCTGGAGAACACCAAGGCCTTCGTAGTTCTGAGAGGGGGTAGCAAACACTGGACTGCGGCTCAGAAGCCTGGGTTAAGGTGAATTTTGGAAAAAATGTTATCTTTGCTTCCTAACTTTTAAAACACAATGGCTTCCAATCACGGCACAAATATGTGTCCTGCACACTCTCTTCAGCGGTCTGGCTGGGGCACCTGCAGGCTGACTAGTGGGATCTTCCCCTCTCCTGCTCCAGGGATGCCATGAATTTGGCTGAATGCAGCATCTTTGTGATTCCCATCTCCCAGACTCCTGGGCTTCATCCCCAGGACAACCCTGCTTTGAAAGAAAAAAATGTTCAAGGTTTGGATCCCAAAGGCTGCTGTCTGTCCTGCCCCAACCAAGCCCAGACAACCGGCCCAGACGCCTTGAGGACAGAGGAAGAAGAGTGAGTTTCTGCTGCTTCTTGTTTCCCAGGCCTGGTTGCTCTGGAGAATCAGGTCCCTGAATCATAGGGTTGCCTTTTCTTTTTTCCCCCCTTCCTTTCTCAGCAAAATACACTGATATCCCCTTACTGTCCTGGATGTGATTCATAAAGGCAAGTGAATTAGAAAGTGCTTCTTCCTTGCTGCTCAGATGACACCCCTGACTTGGCCTGGGTGTGCCTGTTTTCCACCTAAAAGCTGTGCCTGTAGTTGACAAATCATTGGTACCAACTGTCCTCCAGAATAAGCGCTGCCCACCGGGCTGCTTGATTTGGCTAGGATCAGCTGGTCCTCTGCTGGTACGAATGTCTTCTTTGGAGATTTGTGTGCTTGTTTGTTACTCATCAGAGGGAAGGACAGCAGACTTGAGGACGAGGGCGTGATGGGCTGATTCAGCGGCTTCTTGCCCACCCCTGGTTCTAGCTTCTGCTTCTCACTTTGTCCAGCTCCTCTCCTGGCTCCTGGGACCCACCTAAGCCACTGTCAGTGAATGAGCTTCCAGCTTTCCCTCTATCACAGCCTGTGTTAGCTCAGTCCATGGAAGACCACTCCCCAGAACCAAACTCATTACCTCTGTGGCCTCAGCATAATTCCAACCAATATGTAGACTAGACAATTGCATCTACTTAAACTTCTCCCAACCTAGAATTATTAGCAAAGATATTAATAACAGTAATAATATTATATTTAGAAGCTCTTTGGCACATTTCATCTCCCAGAGTCTTAAAGATGGTAACTAATTAATATTCACAACACTCCACACAAGAGAGGTAAATATTATTAACTATAATTAAATATAAAATGGGTATACCAAGGACAGCAAAATAATTCACTTATTTATCACAGTTCACTTCGTGTAGTATAACTGGTATTTTAAAACACCCATCATAGGTACAATAATTAGAGATGTGCTTTTGCTAACAAAACCACTACCCACTTCTGGAGTCCCCTTGGGTACTAAATAATTACCCACTTTGTGTGGTTATCTAGCTCACTAATTACCCGCAGAAATTGGGGTCAGGTGTTAACTGCTTGAAATAAGTATCCTCCAAAGACATCCCTCAGCTGTATAGAGAAAATGATGTGTTCATAGCAAAACTTTCATAACTCATAACTCATGTATTTGTTTATCTTTGTAAGTAGAGTGACTATAGATGAGGCAAATTAGTTTACTGTGTAAAAATCATCACTCTGAATTATCATTGCAAATGCACGGAGGTTTAAAAGGGTCTCCGTCCACTCCATCCCCCATGTACCTTTTCTGCTGGAGATGAGCCAATAATGTGATGCCCACATCTGGCCTCCATGGACAAGCACATGGACCAGCCCTGAGCAGCCCACTCTGCTCAGAGATGATTCATCTTGGCCTTGCAGGGCGGCACAGTGAGTCAAAGATGCTGTTGGACCGCTCCGCCCTTCATGATCACTCCAGCCTGTCTTTTCCTCTGAGTCTACTCCAAACGCACTGTTAGACAAATCTGAGAAATTCTCACCTCGTCACAAACCCTGTCAACCATCCTTCTCCTGCTCAATAAGGACAAAAAATAAATAAATAAAAAATGGAGGAAGGTATTGAATGAATTCCCAACACTATGATTGCAGGTCTTTCTCTTTTTGCCTCTATTTGTTCTGATTCCCTCTCCTCCCCTCCCCCTCCCCTCGCCCTTTCCTCCCCCTCCCTCCTCTCTCTGAGGCTCCATTTGCATGTGCTCTTTCTTCTCCTTCTCCTTGGCACCCCGCCTGCTGGTGCAGGTTTCACAGTCGGAGCTAAGCGTCCTCTCCAGTGGAGCACAAAGAAGCTATCTTTTAGAAACATGGACCTAGGAAGCCTGCCCTCTCAGAGGGCCCCTCCTCTCCCCTGTGCCCGGGCCAGGATGGCCTCACATGGAGGCCTGCTGCCTGCGGCTCCAGCAGGGAAAACGGCTCCGGGGCAGCATGCCCATTGGTGCAGTTAGGAGGAGACCCTGGTTTTGGGGTGATGCCTGTCTGACAAGACCATTGTGTAGCTCAGCTCTTACACTGTGCCAGCAGACATGGTGGGAAGCGCTCCCCGCTTGGCGGCCTCTCCCTGCTTCCTGTACCACGTGTGGTCCCTGGGCTCCCGCTCCTGTGCGAGGCTTCGGCTCAACCACCAGGAGATGTGTGGACACTGGGGCGAGCTGCTTCGGGAATAAGGAGACGTCTGCGCAGAAGCCAGGGGTGAGGGTGAGCTACAGTGACGATGGTTCACTTCCAGTCCCGGCGGAGGAGCGGCAGAGAGAACCTGGGTGCAGCCAGGAGGGGAGGCAGCTCCAGGGAGCACGGAGCCTCAGGTGCGGGGCCGCCGGTGAGTGTGGATGAGCCACCCCGGCCCTGCAGCCCCGCAGGGGGGCTGGGATCTGACCTCCCGCCCAGGAGAACCCGCCCAGACCCCCCCACCCCCGGGTGCCCCGCAGGGGTGTGTCAGCTCCTGGGGCGCACACCTGGGAGGCCGGGCTGCTTCCGCTGCTACCCCGCTGAGCATGAACCCAGACCCGACCCTCCGGCTGCGGTGTGGGGTGGCGTGTGTGCGGGGTGTGCGGGGTGCGGGGTGGGGTGGTGTGAGCGGTGAGCCACCTCCTCGCCCGGGCAGCTGGGGCGCCTTGCAGAGGGTGCGGGCGCCGGAGGGGAGCTGGAGAGGGTCAGGGGATGGGGGGCCACAAGCTTTGTGTGCGGACCGGGCGGGGCGCCAAGGTTCCCGCAGGAGGAGAGCCTGCAGCGGGGAGGGGAGGGGAGGGCGGTTCTGATTCGCCCGCGGCCCCGCACCGGCCCCGCACCGGCCGCCCCCGGGATCCGCGCCCCGGGCCCCCGGAGCCGGTTCTGGGAGCGGAGCGAGAGGAGCTGGGGCGGGGAGCCCCGAGCAGCCACGGCGCTGATTTGTGCCGGCGCCGCTGTCAGTCGCAGCCCCCCTCCGCGCCCCCCTCCCGGAGCCCGGAGCCCGGAGCCCGGAGCCCGGAGCCCGGAGCCCGGAGCCCGGGGAGCGGAGTGAATGCGTTCTCAGAGGCAGCCTCGGCCGAGAACGGGCATGTTGTCTTATTTTCATAGGAAAGGGGACAGGGCGGCGGGAGATGGGGGGACGGGGGAGACGGGGGGAATGGGGGACGGGGCAGGGAGAGACCGAGGGGGGTGGGGGGCTGCGGGAGACGGGGAGACAGAGCGGGGGAGATGGAGGGGAGCAGAGGTAGATGGGGGCGGCAGGATGGGACGGAGGGCTGTTCTGAGAGGACAGGGCAGGGGCAGAGGACAGACGGATGGATGGAAGGGCCGGAGGAGCCGGAGGTGAGCGCAGCCCGGGCGGGTCCAGCCTCGGGGCGTCCACCCGGGGGAGCGGGCTCCGGGGCAGACCGCACCGGCTGGTCCTCAGGCCTCAGCCCCCAGTCTTCCCTCCTGGGCTGCTCTGTCCTCCGGCAGACAGCGCCCACCTGGCTCACACTGGTCGAGGGAGGGAGAAAGGAAAGCGAAGGAAGGAAGGAAGGAAGGAAGGAAGGAAGGAAGGAAGGAAGGAAGGAAGGAAGGAAGGAAGGAAGGAAGGAAGGAAGGAGAAGGAAGGAAGGAAGGAAGGAAGGAGGGAGGGAGGGAGGGAGGGAGGGAGGGAGGGAGGGAGGGAGGGAGGGAGGGAGGGAGGGAGGGAGGGAAAAAAGAGGGAAGGAAGGAAGGAGGGAAGGAGAGAGGGAAGGAAGATTGGGACAGTTCTGAGAGTTATTTTTCCTCCTACCCTTCCCTCTGGGAGGCATTTCAGAGCCTCTTGCTCAGCTTCCAGGCCGACAGGGACGCTGCAGCCTGTGGCCAGGAGCTCAGAGAGGATGGGGGGTAGGAGAGGATGGGGGCAGGAGCGGAGATGGGGGGGCACAGAGGAGATGGGGGCAGGAGCCTCAGCGCCTGGGATGTGGGCAGACCCTGGCCTGGCTCAGGCCACTCCCAGACGCACCCCGGGCCAGGGCCAGCCTGCCAGGGAGGAGGGGTTGGCACTCGGAGGCCTTCATCTCAGGAAGAAGTAACGGAATAGTTCAAAGCCTCCGCCCCTCCCGCCATGCTCCCACCCAAGCCGCCTCCCTCTCTGGGCAAAGCTGGACCGGGCAGCCGGGCTCTGGGCCGCCCTCCGCCCGCCCGCCGCCCTCCAGCCGCCCGGCCCCAGGACGCTCAGCCTGGACCAGCTCCGCCCGGCCGGCCCTGGAGCCGCCGCCGGCCGCTGCCGGTGAGTGACCATCCCTCCTTGCTCCCCCCGCAACGTCCCTCCCTGCCCGGTTTGGCATTCGGTGCCGCGGGGAGGGCTGCCGCAGGCGGTTCGGTCATCAGCGCTGGAGGCGCGGAAGCTTGGGGGACACTTGGCCCCGAGACCTCGGAGTCTCGAACCCTGCACCTGGCCCCTCACCGCACTGGCCGCTGTCAGACGCTCGGCCCCCGCAGCGTGCTCACCATCCTGTGTGCAGGCATGTAGGTGTGCAAGCATGTGTGCACAGGCATGTGCGCGCAGTCATGTACACGTGCAGACATGCGTGTGCAAGCGTGCGTATGCGGACATGTGTGTGCAAGCATGTAGGTGTGCGGGCATGCGTGGGGAGGCATGGTGTGCAGCGGGGAGTCCGCACGCGGCCCGCACCTGCGGCGGGAGCCGGCGGGCAGCCACCTGTGTGTCCCTCTCCCTGAAGCAGGAGCCGCCGCCGGGCTTGGCTTTGTCTCCGTAGGAGCAGTGCGCGCCCCTCGGTCCCTGAGACCCTAACTTGTGAGGTGTAGTCCAGGTCCACGGGTTAGGCTCTCGGGAGCTGCGAGCCGCGCCTGAGCACCGGGTTTGTTGGGACTTTCCCCTTAAAGCAAACGCAGGAAAACAAAGTTTGCCTGGCGCCCCGGGTGCAGCTGAGGGCTGCGCGCTGGCGGGTCAGGCAGGGGCCTGGGCAGGAGAGGGTCCCTGCGGGGCGGCCTGGCGGCTCCCTGGCTGTTACCCGGGGCCCTTCCCCAGAGCCGCAGGCGGTCCTCAGAGGAACAGGGACAGCTCGCACCTGGTGCTGGGCCTCAGCACACCAGCTGAAGTCCCAGCATGCCCCAGGCTCCCAACTTTTACACTCAACAGTCCATCTTAAAACTGCCCTAAAAATGGGCATGTGGACATATGAGATATTCAGTTCCACACATGTGTATCATACAGGGCTAGATAGTGAACACAGACAGTGATAGTGGTGAACCAATAATCTGGGCCAATAGAGCCATAGGCTGAAATTTTTACTCTCCTTATTCTGGATAAAAGGTGGCATTTTGGTGTTAAAAAGACTAAATTTGTACTTCTTTTCAAGATCTTAAATAAAATAAAAGGAGATATATAGCCTCCTTGCTTGGCTACGATTTTAAAATGCTATGTACAATGATTTTAAAAGTAATAGGGATTGGAAATGTATGATATATACTGAAAGAAAACAAGGATGCACACACACACAAAAATAGTGTATCCTTTAGGATTAACTGTATTATTCTTTGTGAAAAAGTTAGGGGAAATTATCAGGAATTTAATCCAATCCAATGTAGTTATTTATAACACAAAACTATACATTTAAAATTATCTTTTGAGGTAATTGTTAGCATTACCTAATTTGCAGTTTTCTGAAAAATGTGACATTTTGTAAAAGAATAATTTCAGTGATTTAAATCTATGTCATAGTTAGAAAAGAGAAACCGTGACTTATCTTTCTTTGTTGTGAAAAATTCCAATATACAATTTCATTTAAACGACTTTGGTGTTCTTGGACCAATATTTATCTTCTATTTTCTGAAAATACCTAAATCAATCCTGAATTCAAATGCATTCTTCATTTGGAGACTTTATATTGGTTGTAACTGTTTATGCATGTTAAAGGTTAAGGAAGCTCTTCTTCCCTGTCTTTTGTTTGTTTTGATTTTAAATATTCATTGCGATTTTAGTATTTGACTCTAAATCATAGTCAAAGAACCATTTTGTATCCGCAAACTGAATTGAGAGGATGAACTGTGGAACAATGTGCCATGTCTTTTGTTAAAATCGCTGTGTACTTGTAACATTTAAATATCACTCTCCGGCCTTTGATAGTCTGAATGTGTTTCAAGGGAAAGTTATTGGATTTTTCAGGTCATTTTTTGGTTTGTATAGACTGGATTGATGACTTCCCCCCCATCTTAGCTGATGTGCATGCATAGGTATTTGGAAATTATGGAAAGGCATCACTTTAATTTATGGATCTATAGCATCCCATGATTTATATCAAATATTTAAGACATATGATACCTTTCAAAGTCAAAATATATCTGCAGTTAATTTTATGAAAATGTATGCATGGGTCAACAAAAACCTGCTAGATATCATTCTTCTGTGATTTTAAATAGTAACCGGATAGTAATTTAATCCAAGTGGTACAGTTTGTATTCGAGGGAACTCTCTTGGTTTTTTGCATGTTTCCAAGTGGATTGCTCGTGTTCTGAGGTTGTTATTATACAACTGATCACAAGGTATTTAGGAATGCATAACAACACACAAGATTTTATATTTCAACGGGGAACTGCTTCAGTATAAAGATAGGTTTCTCAGCACCCCTTCTTCCTCAGCGAGCCCATCAGTGAAGTTCAGTGAAATGAAGAACATAATTGGTGGTTGGTTCAATCACTACCAGTCTAGACTAGTCCAGACGCATCAATTAGAGAGGCTGTCTTTTAAAAAGAGAGAGTGCAACCGAAACAAGCAGGGCATTATGGATACGGATCTTTAAAAGTGCAAATCCAGCTTTGCAGATAAAAAATAAGGGGGGAATGGGGAGGGGGCATTGCAGGAAGAAAAGAGAAAGAAGTGAACTGGAGCTTTGGGACAAGAAAGACAGGAAGTGAGAGAGAGGGAGGAATAATGAGTGAAACGCCATGCAGCACCTCCGAGGACAAAGTTACAGTTCAGCCCGGAGCATATGGTTCACCATATTTAACTAGCGCCCCCAACCCCCGTTTTTCTCCTTTTCTGCATGTTTCCTAAGAAGTCCCAGCTCAAACCCAGTGCCGCTGGAAATGTAGGAAGCTTCTAGTGAGAATGAAGCCAAGTGATGCTAGCCAGCCAAAGCTCCTTTTGCAATGTTTTTCCCCAAAAGAAAGAACAGAAAATGTTAATGTTTGATTCTCTAATCATACCTTTAAAAAATCAGCTGTATTAATGAACACGGCTCATTTTAAATCCGCTAACTGGGAAGTATTTTATGGGCAAGACAACTCTAGGCAAGCAGCTAGTAGTTGAATACAGTGAAAGTATGAAGACTGTAACAAAGGCCTGGTGATTTAGAGGGGAGTGAGTAGGTGGATGGATAAAAGACAGAGGATTTAGAGAGCATTAGGAATATATCAAGCTCCAGGGAAAGAAAGGGTTTAATTGATATTAATTAAAACACTGCTAATATATTCTAACAAAATCAAATTTGATGTTCTAAACTAATCTCCTTGCTATGTCAAAGGAAAAGAAAAGTATTATCTTATTTGCATCTCTGCAATCCAAATGCATTGCTCATTCAGCGGAATTAATGCTTACCACCAGTCTGTTTAATCTCCTCACACATTTAGTCAAACTTATTCTTTCAAACTAAAAGGATCAAGGCAGGGAATTCGTGCAGGTATTGGGAAGACTCGTGGCTGTCCTTGTCACTGGCTTCATATTTTTCTATGTTCCTTTCTCCTCAGTGACTCTAATGAGGTGGAGAAACGGTGAGACTGCAGCGAGAATGATGAATATAGTTGATTTTTCCTCTTTTTTTTCTTCTGCCTTCCAGGTTATTTAGGAATTGCAGTTGCCAAATTATAGGAGTATCTTTATTTACATGGCTGATGTTGGTCTGCTAATTAATAATCATATTTATTTCTGATTTCAGAATCTACTTTGTTACAAATTACTATTGAAAAAGGCTCTCAAATCAGAAATTAATGACCCTTTATCGGTTGTTTTCAACTGCAGTTCTCCTAAATGAATGGGGAGGTGAATGTAAAATTTCATACACCAAAAATTGAACTCTTTGTTTCCTTATTAAGTTAAAATTTCTGCAGGGAAATTCACACTTTTATCAAATGGTGAGTTTTATTCTCTAGTGTTGAACTCTTACAATGGATAAAATTGCCCCCGAGTGACATCATAGCAAAAATATTTCTCCACCCCTTAGTCTCCCAAGACTATGATATCATATGTAAATATGTGGCTAACCCCAACAATAAATAAGCTAACTATATTGAGGACCACGTATATGTGTTTGAAGGTGAGGGATTCTGCACAGGATTGAGGATGTGAACTTCTGACTCACCTGCTGACACGGCTGCCTGCCTGCCCCACTGCCTTTCCCAGCTCCACACCACAAAAGAGCAGTTGCAGTTCAGCTCCTGTATTGTTCTATAATCCAGGCAATAATGCTAATTAGCAATGATCAAAGATCTGACTATTCAGAGTAATTATCATAATTTACATCTTCCTTGCTAAAGACATTCCTTGCTGTTTTTTTTGTTTGGTTGGTTGTTTTTTGTTTTTGTTTTTTTGTTTTTTTGTTTTTTTTTAAATAAACTGTTGTTCTACCATTGCACTGCAGTGGAAAGCACAACCAAGATATGTGTGAGGTAGGATTGGATCATTTGGGTTTCATTCAAAGTCGCCGGCATGTGCCTCTTAGCTTGTTCCAGATGGAATTGAAATTTATTTTCTAAAAAGGAATTCTTGGAAATACACAAAGTTTTGCATGTGCACCAGGAAGATATGATTTTATTTTACAAACCCCAAGACTCCTCCTTCCAGCCCATCCCCTTCCTAAAATCACTTACTGAGCAGAACAAAGGAAACTGCTAACTACAGAGGCATCTCAGCGAACAGCAGCAGCATGATACAGTCTGTGATATGACCACACATGGCATTGCACGGAAGTGCAGCGGAATAAATCGTTTAAATAGTAACCCTAATTAGCAGACAGATCTTTAAGGAGGTATCAAGAAAATGGATCCAACCAACTTGAATAATAGGCTCCATTCCCCAAGATCACAAATGTATTTGGTGATCCGGTGATGGGTTGAATCACAGAAAGAGGACAAAGCCCTTTTCTCAAAATGGAGCTTTGCTCTGGCATCCTCTTTAGGGCACGTTAATCAGACATTTTGTAAGAACAGGATTTAATGCAGGGCTCTCTCTTTTCAAAGATATGATCTGCCATCCTCTTGCACCTTTCTTTTATCAGTTGATCTAAAATATCACCTGAAAAATTGTGATCCCCCTTAGATTTTCATATAATTGCTGCAGAATATACATGAAGCCTTCTCCACATTCTATAATGAGGCTTGTAGCCCAGGTTTTTTTCTTATTGCTTGAAGCAAATAAGGATACTTTACACAGAAGGAATAGAATAAATAACCATGTTGAAATTCTATTTATTGGAGCTTTACCTATCAAGGTTATATTCCCAGGGTATGTTGTTCATTGGCCTTTATGGAGAACTTCAGCTTTTACTTGAGGGCTGTAAGCATATTAGAGGGATAATTCCCTTTGAATACTATACAGAAGGAGCCACCTGCAAAATGTTGATGCTCTTATTGAAATCTCAAGTGGAATCAGCTTTCAAAAAATTAGATATTAGAGACATCCAATATAATTTGCAATATGTAATTATACGAAAGTGCATATAGATGTGTTTGCTTTACATGTTTCCTACTTGAGTTTTTTTTTTCTCTTTGGAATTTCTCATCATTTACATGGATCCTGAGTAGAATGTTTTTCAAGTCAACTTAAAAATTTTTCTTGTTAATTAACATAAGAATAAAGGACTCTGTGATCTGTGTTCTCATGCAAGAATGCATGTGTATAACTTCAACGTTGGCAATTAATCATATCTGACAAAGTTGTCATTGCAGAGACTGTTGCATTACTTGTAAAATATTTGCTGCTTTAATCTTCATCCTAATTTTAGATAATTTGAAGTAAGAAAGAACACTAGAATAGTAAATATTATTCATAAGACATCTATTTCCTTTATTTAAGTAATGAGATAACATGTCAGGGAAATGGTCTTAGGCAGAGACAATAATTTTAACCTGCTCAAAGTAACCAAGCCCATAACAGTAATCTTCCTCCATTTTGCATGGCACGTGATTAAGAACCGAGACTCTGCCAGGGATCATAGATGCCAGGCATCAGCCTCCCTTTGGGCGCCTCAGTGTGGTCCGTTCATGGCCACAACTCCCTCTCCACAGAGCGGAGCCCTGAAGATCTGCTATCAGGGAGGAACCTGGGCCACGCAGCAGCAGAAACTGTCTGCCTGCCACTGCCACCTGCTCTGTGCACAGGTGATGATGCTCTTGATGAAGATCAGGAGACTCATCACAGTCAGGTCACAGAAGCACCTGAGCAACCAGTGCCAGGGCCCCAGTTTATGTTTATCTGCTCAGGAGACCAGATTCCAAGGGGCAAGGGTCACTCATGATGAGATGACACAGGATCTTACTTCATCCCAATTAAGTAGACATGGATGCCAAGGAAAACTGATTTGTTAAACAGTTGACTCCTAATACACACCTAGAATATGGTGGTTCACTTATTTATAATTCTTCAAATTTATTTTAAAAGAGGGGTCCATGTTCTAAAAGAGACATTTCTGTGGACTCTATCTATGATACACATTGGTTTGCTTTTCCTCTGGGCTTTCTATTAGGTTACCCAAAGGAGTAAAAAATAAATTCTGTGAACACCTTTCCTTGACACAATAGCATTTTAACTTACTCACAATTAAGTCTACCACACATGTAGCAAAGGCTTAGCACCTCACCCTCCACTTTGTGTCCACAACATAATGAATTCTAAAATATGTAAGATGTATATTTTACTTAACTACTCATCTAGGATCCATTTTTGCATGCTTGGTCAGAACAGAAAAATACTATAATAATTAACAATATTTAGCAGCAGGTTATGTTATAGGTCCCGGAGCAAAAACACTTGCCATTTAGAGAGCCAAGGTCTTTCATGTGTTTAGGGCAGAAATCAGTGAGAGAAGGTGGAATATCTCTTGGTGTACGTACCTAACTCATTACGCATCCTCATTGTGTGAGCTTAATGAAGAGGCTGACAATAAAAGCTTTAGTTAAATTAAAATCCACCTGCAAAGTACACTTCATTCATAACATCTATTGAAAAATAAAAGAAATATTAATACAGTTCTTCCCAAACATTCTGATCTGTAAGATGCGTGGGTTGGATTCATTGATCTCCAATTATTTTAACTAAGAATTTGTGAAGCTGCTCCAAAGTAGAGGTACAAGAACAACTCCGGGACCCTTGACTCTGGAGGTATTTGTTTTAAGACTTGTCCTTTAAAGTTATATTCAATTCCACCTCCAGGTACTGTATTTACTAACATGAAGTTGTCTTGATGGTAAAACAGTAAAGTTCATTTTTAGGAAAAGCAGTGGCAGAGAGAGGAATAGCTGGAGAATGAAAAATGCTCTCAGTTCTAAGCCCACTCTGCAACACAAACATAGAAGAAACCCAGACAAACACCTGCCTCCCTACTTTGTTTATTAAAAATCTTTGTGTTGAAAGTGTTACGTATGTCCCCATCCACCCCCCCCCCCCCCGTGACCTCTTCTAGACTACCCCCAACCCCTACCCTGGCCTTCATCACCCTGTGGTCTGTCCATGGCTTATGCATGTATGTATACAAGGTTTCTGGTTGATCTCTTCCAACCCACCTGCCCTTTCCACCCACCCCACCTTCCCTCTGAGATTCTGCAGTCTCTCTATTCTAAGAGCATATTCTTTAATACCTCTGCCTTCATTTAATTTCTTTGCTTTTCTCATTGGGCTGACATCTTTGAATTTCACCTTTCCCTTTCCACTTGACTTACAATATTTGAATCATGTCAATATTCCCTTCAAAAGTCTACAATAGTTATATTAACACACTACGCTTCTAAAATTAAATTTTAATATGTTCAAAACTCCTGAAATTTGCTTTGCTCCATTCTCTAAAACCACTCAAATATATCATTTATTTATTTATTTATTTTATTTTATTTTATTTAGCAAACCTATTTCCCCTGGCTTCCCAGTTTTTGAACCTGTCCATGTGCTGTTTTTACCCTCTCTAAACTCTGTGCCTTCACCTCTTCCACACCTCAGAAACACTTTTTATTTCTTGCTTTCTTTCCTTCCCTCCTCCCTCATTCTTTCTCTTTTTCTTCCCTCCCTTCCTTCCTTCCTTCCTTCCTTCCTTCCTTCCTTCCTTCCTTCCTTCCTTCCTTCCTTCCTTCCTTCCTTCCTTTCCTCTCTTGGGCATGAGCCAGGCACTATACATTTAAATACAGGAATTGACATTAACTTCTAGCAACTCTGGTGGCTTTGACCACTCTGCATTGCTGAGGACTTATGTATCCACAATTATTTCATTTTGCATTTACTCTTTAGCTATTTGAACAAGTCCCTGATGTCCTGCCTTCTGCTGTTGGTTCTTTGCATGCCCTGTTTCTCAGTTGCCTGTGGGATTCACCTGAAGTTTCTCTTACAGACATTCTCTCAGGGGATTAGCATTGTACCCTCACATGCCCACAGAGCTGTTGCTGGTCTGAGTGAGGGGCACAGTAAGAAAGGGCTATGTGTTCCTGGTGCCGCAGTCTGCACGTAGTCTGGAACAGCAGGGAGCTAAAGTATCAATGCACGTGTTTATGTTTATTGAGCACTAAATGTGATGACTTTCTGTGACATGTTCTGTTGTGTTTTTTAGTTGTGTGGATGTTCCTTTCAGCTGATCCTGTAGCCCCCAGGAAGGTTCAAAGACCACAGAGAGACCCAGTGGATGCCCAGGCCACTCAGAAGTTGAAACAAAAGTAATCGCCTGAGGACACCTCTTCTGCTCAGCAACACCCTCACCCCACAGTCCCTTCAAGAAACAAAGAAGCCTAAGAATGCCATCTAGATTTTTTGACATTGGTTTTGAGAGAGAGGGAGAGATGGGCAGACATACAGAGAGAGATTTGGTATTCTGCTTATTGATGTATTTATTGGTTGATTCTTGTATATGCCCTGGCGGGGATTGAACCCGAAACCTTGGCGTATTAGGACCACTTTCTAACCAACTGAGCCACCTGGTCTGGGCTCATGCCATCTAGATTTTTCATGAGCCAAAGAAAAGTTGTATTCCTTCATTTGTATTCCTTCCTCATTAGTATTCATCTGCTTGAATTTAAATTTAATGCGACATTTATTTTTTAAAAGTCTTCCTAGTATACATTTGCTTATGAATGCACCAATTTTTAAAATAGGAATTGCACAAATGTGTTAATATTTTAAGGAACAGTAATGTTCTAAGTAGATTGATTTTTAGCCACACACAAAGTGTGATCTTAAGAGTGACCTAAAGAGTATAAAGTGCTCTTGAAATAACAGCAGTGAGAGGCAATCCGAAGGGTAAAATAATGGGGGAAGTCATAACGCAACACAGAAATGCCACGTATCCTGCCTGACATCAACCAAGCAAGCACTCTTTTTATTCAGCCATATGGGACACGTGAGCTATGATCACTGCTTCTAGCCAAGAAATCTAGTTAGACAGAAGGACACAAACTTTCAAAAAGATAAATAACAACTCAGGTCAATAGATGGCAAGACCCAAACCCAACCCAAAACAAATGGTTTAAACAAGGAACCCCGAGGAGATCAGCAGAAGCAGGACAAAACTGGTCTGTTCAGGGAAGAAAGTGCCCCTAAAGAGAAAATGATGAAGTGAATCTTAAAGGATGTTAAAGAATTAGATAAGTGGAAAGAAAGGGGGAAAGCGTATCTTTTAGATAGATGCATTTTTGTGAGAGCAAACGCACACACAGCTGTCTCACCCCAGGTGTTGCCTACAATTATAATTATATTTCTTTGCCATTAAAGAAAGTGACTGGTAATAATATGAAAGCTTGTGATTATTCTGTTAACCTAATAATAATAGTATTTATTGTAGTCTCACTATATGTTAAGCATTTTATGTTAGCTCACTTAAGCCTCACAGCAATTCAGCAAAAACCCATTTTATAGGTTAAGAAAACTGAGCCTTAATGCGGTTAAGTGACTTGCTACATAGCCAATACAGAGTTCACATCCAGAATTGCAATTGCAAAACTCATAGCCGAAGGCCATGGCTTCCAGCTGGCGTGCTGCCAGACATGTGAACCATGCAACAGCTGACCAGTCAGGCTGGGCAATGCCATCTTTCCCCCCAGGCTGTCAAGCTAGAACAATAGTAGCTGACCAGTGTGAATGAATCAAAATTATATCTATGTTTTTGTCAGATTGGCAAAAAAATGTAATCTATTTTTGGTGTGTTGCAGAATTTTACTAATTAGTTTATGTGTGCCATGAGATGAGATTGAAATCCCTGATCTAAGGCCTGCAGTCGCAATATTGCAATCATTACATTACTACTTGCTATTATTTTTGTTGTAAACAAAGAGCTATTTCCTTTAATCCCTTCAAATTTTTCAGATTTCTGGTTAAGTTATACTAGAGTGATAGAATGTATCTTCCTAATAGAAAATTGAAATAATTGGGGAATAGAGCATATTAATATTTTAGGCTTTTTTCTTTCTTTCTTTCTTTCTTTTTTTTTTTTTTTTTTGCTAGACTTTGATGAGATTCTTCAATTTTGTCTGCATAGTCTCAACTTCTTGAAAAGAAAAAAAAATGGGTTGGTAGTGATTAAAGGTCAGTTAATCTGTGTCCTTCCTACAGGTGAGAGAGAGGGGCTCATGAAGGCTTCATATTTACGTTCCCCCAAGCTAAGCACAACGGCTTGAACCACCCACCACCCACCAAGAACCTAAACCAGTCATGAACTTGGCCTTGATTAGCGGAAACATTTTATCTCAGAGGTTTGAGAGCCTTGTACCTAGTAGATTGTTTCAGCTTTGCACCTCTTTGGCTTCCCAGGTTAATATGAAAAATATCTAGCTGTGAACTAATTACCATTTTAGATCCTGATCCCTGGCCAGTTTTCTCAATGGTTAGAGCATCAGCCCTAGTGGCAGATTCTTCAGTCCCAGTAGGGAAGCAAGTAGGAGGCAACCAATTGAGGTATCTCTCTCACTTCAATGTTTCTCTCCCCCTCCTCCTACCTTTCCAATCTCTCTAGAAATCAATGGAAAAAATATCCTTAGGAGAAGATTAAAAACCAATCATATAATGGCCCAAGTTATTATGTGCAATATATTCAATGATATTCTTAAGGTATTTGAAAAGTTGGTTCACCTAAACAAATCCAATCTTCTAACTGTTTTGTTAACCAATTTTGTGCACAGTATGCATTTATAAGTGTTTCTGCATGAATATTTACATATGACTTTCAATAGTCCTTCAGTTTTTAAAAGTGTCAATGGTTATTTGCTATTTTAATACTCACTTATCTGGTATCAATTCAAGAATATTTCAGCCATAAAAAGCTAGAATTGAGAAAACTTCACTCTTCTTTACCAGCCCTTTTGCATTTAATTGGCATTTGGTTATGATTAATAAAATGGTCAGCTGGCCCAGCTGGCATGACTCAGTGGTTGAGCATCAACCTATGAACCAGGAGGTTATGGTTTGATTCCCAGTCAGGGCACATACCTGGATTGTGGGTTCAGTCCCCAGTGTGGGCCATGCAGGAGGCAGCTGACCCATAATTCTCGCTCATCATTGATGTTTCTATCTCTCTCCCTTTCTCTTCCTCCCATTAATCAATAAAAATACATTTTAAAAAATAAAAAATAAATGAAATGGTCAGCTGGATGACACAGAGATTTAGAACACAATTCTGCCTTGAAGGAACCTGTGAAGTGGGGTCCACTTCAGGACCAGCGTCTCGCTTGGGATGCCAGATAAGAGACAGCTGCACATCTCCTCTCAGACACTGGCATTGTCAGACAGAGCTCCTCATGGCTGAGCTTGGCCTGTTTTCCAGATGGTTATTGGCTGTATCTCACCCAGTTCTCATTCAACGAGATCATAAATAAACAGGGTTTTTAAAGTAGCCAAGCACAGAATATGATTTTGTTGGCATTTTATGAGGCTTTGTTATATGTCCCTGGAACCCTCAATAAAAGGAATATTGCATCCACTGTGAACTTGTGTGTTTCCTGGAAGAGCACTCTCTCAATACAAGGTTGTTGGCACCAGAGTACACAAAGCTAGCTTCAGGATCCAGGATCCAGCAAGTAATCTAATATGACAGGAAAATTTCAATTCAGAGACAATTTCTAAATGACCTTATGTTGCCTTTCAATAAATTTCACTGTCATCTACCCAAGTCAGAAACCAATGAGTGCTCCTCATCTTTCTCTTTTTAGCTGTCACGGCCAGTCAAATCTTTTTTTTTTTTTCTTTCTTCTTCCTGTTTTCCAATACATTTGCATGTCTCCACCTTCCACATGGCTGCAGCTAAGACACCCCTCACTTCTCACCCGGATCAGGGCATCAGGCCTCCAGTTTTTCCTCCTGTGCTGCCAAGCGGTAACCAGGAAAATCTCCCTATGCCACAAATACCATCACATCACTCACAGTGCCCAGCATTTTATTGGATCCCTATTGCCCTTGAAATAGCATGACACCTAAAGCCCTTCCTATCTTGGATCCTGGATCCTGGCCCAACATTCTTCTTCTTCCCCACATTCTTTTCAGTGTTGCTGCCACACATATTTGCCATTTCTTAATGCTCTTTTTATACCCTGCGCTTTCTCAGACATCCACACTGTCTGGGTGGCTCTCGCTCCACTGCCCCTTCCAGACTCTGCATCTCGCCCCTTGGGTCTCATCCTGGAACCCTTTCCTCTCGGGAATTTTTGCCTCAACCATCCTACCATCACCCTATGACTCTCTTCTTTCATCGGTGCTTCCGTAGCCTCTGTGCACTCCTCCTAGTAGCACTGATCACCCTGATTATTGATAACGTGTGCCAGTCTTCTCTCTTTGAATATGTGGTTCCAGAGTTGCCTTGTTCAGTAGGGTCGCCATTTGCCATATGTAGCTACTTCAATTTACAATCTTAAGTAAAATAAAAAAAATTAACTTCTCATGTGCACTGGCCACATTGTAAGGGCTCAGGTGCCACGTGACTAGGTGTAGGTAAAAAGCAATCCCCTTAATCAGTGTAGGTAAAAAGCAATCCTGTATCCTGGAAAGTTGTCCAGGACCAGGCTATTCTGAAAGACAGGCACTGCGTCTTCTTTGTCACTGCACCCTCTGGCACTGGCAGCCCTTCCTAGTGGAGCTCACCATCTGAACCACAGAGCAAACCAACCAGGTGAGTGACTCTTTTCTCAATTTTTTCAGAAATGACATAGCACTAAAACTATGCTATATGCATGGGAAGTAAATCCTAATAAAAGTGTAATATGCAAATGAACCATCACACCAAGATACAGATGGCTGCCCCCATGTGGACACAAGATGCCCGCAACAAGATGGCCACCACAAGATGGCCTGCAGGGGAGGGCAATTGTGGGAAGTTAGGGGCGACCAGGCCAGCAAAGGAGAGCAGTTGGGAGTGACCAGGCTGGCAGAGGAGGGTAGTTGCAGGAAACCAGGCCAGTAAGGGGAGGCAATTGGAGGAGACCCAAGCCTTCAGGGGAGGCCAGTCGGGGGCACCAGGCCTGCAGGGGAGGGCAGTTGTGATAATCAGGCAAGCAGGGAGGAAGTTTAGGGGTAACCAGGCCGTCAGGGGAAAGCAGTAAGGGGGACCAGGCCTGCAGTGGAGGGCAGTTGGGGGGAACCCAGGCCTGCAGGGTAGAGTCATTGGGGGGGACCAGGCCTGTAGTGGATGACAGTTGGGAGGACCCAGGCCTGCAGGGGAGGGCAGTTGGTGGGGGGGAAGGACCAGGCCTGCAGGGGAAGGCAATTGGGAGCCAGAAGTCCTGGATTGTGAGGTGGATGTCCAAGTGTCCATTTAGGCCCAATCCCAGTGGATAGTCAGACATCCCTCAAGGGGTGCAGATTGGAGAGGGTGCAAGCTGGGCTGAGGGACACAAACCCTGCCCCATGCATGAATTTCATGCACCGAGCCTCTAGTTAATGTATAACATGTAAAGATGCCCAAAATATTAAGACTTAATTTTAGCATAAAGCCCTCACTGAGAAAGTCTCCTTTAGACTATTAAAAATGTAAGTGCCTTATAAGTGCTGACTGAGTGAGGATAAGACACATCTAAACACAGAGGTTTTGATTTGTGTGTTTTGTTGTGTGGAGCCATGTAGGAGGCATGTCGAGATTCCCAAGGGCCTCCTTTCTAAAGGATGTGAGGATAGACAATTTCTTCTTTCACCTCAAGCATAGCTGACCTGGGTCACGCAATAGGATTACCCATTCTTTCACTTTGCTTGGTTTCTGCTGGGAAACAGAAATAGAGAACTGAGCTGTTATTCAGTGAGTGAGATCAAAGTGAAAGTGATTGAAGTAGCTATCAGATTTGATAAGACTACATGTTCTTAGGGAATTGCCCAAGTTCACTTATACTGTTAATTATTTCCTGAGCACCACACACTTTGTTAGGTACTGATGACACAGACAATTCCTGTCTCAGAGCAAAGTAACATTAATATTATCATTCCAGTTCCTCTCCCTGCATTGTAGCAGGAGCACTTGACCTTGGCTGACGTTGTAACCACTTGGGGAATTTAACAAATACTGATACGTTGGCCCTTTTTCAGAAGACTCTGACATAATTGGCATGGCCTGGGATTCTGATTTTTTTGAAGATCCCAGGAGAGTACAGTGTGTAGCCAATGCTGAGACATGATCTTGGAGTGAACTCGGAGATCAAGAGTCTTTGGTATCAATAATCAATAGCATATTGGAACCAAAACGAGGAACTTTAAAATGGCCTGTTGCGCATATCATCATTTTACTGTGTATTTCTCATAAGATAAGCTTATACCTAAGAGTTCATCCAGGCTATAGACAGTTCATGACTGAGGTGCGACCTGACAGCAGGTGTCTGCCGCCAGCTCAGTTCTTTGTTTACTACCCCACGCAGCTCAGGAAAACGGAACATAGAATCATCTTCACATCAAAAGACAACCACAAATTTTTATAACATGGTGTGTGTGTGTGTATATATATATATATATATATATATATATATATGTGTGTGTGTGTGTGTGTGTGTGTGTGTGTGTGTGTGTGTGTGTAAAGAGAGAGTTCAGTTCCTCAGGAGCCCTAACCGCATTCTTATGAATTCTAAAATCAAAATACCTGTGTTGAATTCCACACATAACTAAGAAGAACACTTTGCCTTTAAACTTGAACTACTCAATAGAAGAAATAGTAGTGGGAGGAAAAATGAGTACATTGTGCTCCCACATTTTCTGTTCTCACCCACCTTATTACATAACGTTCTATTCAATGTAATACTTCATAGTGCAGGTAAAAATCGCCAGGCTATCCTCAGAAAAATAACTACCGTTAAAAAGTTAGCTCTCTTAGCCATCACCACACACACTTTTAGATTCCACTTGGGGATTGAGAAAACTCAGGATACATAAATCACTGAGTTCACGCTCCACCCACAGAAGACTACACAGAAAATGTGAGCCTTTCCATTCTTAAGGCATCAAAATAAAACTAACGTGCACACACTCCTTTCAAAATGCATTTCGTGTGTGAGAGCCTACGCAGTGGGGAAATTCTGTTTTGTATCTATTCCAAATCCTCGTGCTGTCATATAATCCCATTTTCTTTTGTTCCCTGTGGAGAAAAGAACATCTGCTCTCCATTCTCTCTGAACTCAATCCCTTCAGCTCCTTAAAGACTCCCAGCTTCCTTCCAGCGCCTCTTCCCTGGGAGAAGTGATAGCCATTCCCTTCAGGTAGTGTCTCTCCTGCATTGTGCAGCCTCACTGTCATGTCACACGTACTCATGCTCATCACATCATGCTCATAGCAAAGCAAGCCTGGGCCAGCAGCAAAACCAAACAAATGTGTCCTTGTTTCCATAAATGAAGTTATACATCCAATAATAGATACTGCATACATAGTTGTGAATGCTAATCTTCCAATAATTATGTGCCAAAATTGTTATAATTTTATTCAGAAAATATTGGCCATCTGTTGCTTTTGGAGAAATGAATTAAAACTTCAATGATTAGTTTTTAATTTCTTTTATGCAAGTGTTCCCCAAACTGGCCTGGAATGGCCCCTCACCACTCCCCAGCAGGAGCCCACCCCTTCACAAAAACAGATACTGAATTGGAGCATCCAGTCAAAGGGGAATCGCTGTCTGAGCATTCCTATCTGCTTTGTCACTCACGTTTTAATAAATTCCAAATATCATCAAGTGTTCCACATTGTGCCAAGTGTAGCTAATTACATGAAGTGACCAGCTGTGATAAAGAAATTCCAGAGTGCCAGTCCCGTAACGTGACAATATCTGGTTTGTGTATGTTTTCAAACCCTACATGTTAAGTGATACTAGAAATTAAGACATGAATATTTAGCAGAATCTTGCTCTTACCAACTTTCTATTAGAATATTCAGTTTTCATAAAGGAAAAGTTGG